TATTATTCTGCACTGATTTTTAATTAATATATATATACATTTTGTATACTTTTTGTATTCCTCTTGTTTTCAAAGCAGCGCAAATGAAAGGTTAATGGTAATACTTAATTATAGATTCTAGATTATAGATTCTCATTTGTTTCCATAAACAGAAGACTGTATATCAGAGCAGTATAAACATTCTGACAAACCTTACGTAAAGTGAAGAGATAGATCTCAAATGGCTAGAAACGTGTCCACTAAGCATACCAGATGAATCAGGACAATAAATATAAACTACCCAGAGATTGGCCTTAAAATGATCTGGGAAAGACTTGATGAGCGGTATGGCTCAGCAGAAGCAACAAAGTGAACTATTCAAAAGACTTGATAGCTTCCCCAAAATACCTAACAAAGCCTATCAGAAACTTAGGAACTAAGAGACAGAGCAGAGAAGAAGAAACTCAGGAGAAAGAAGAAGGGGGATAGAGTAGAAGCTAAAACAGCCCCGGATGAGAGTGAATCTGAGGTAGGCAAGCTAGCGTGAGTACAAATTAATACTTCCAATTCCACAGAAAGAGGGTTTGGCCTACTTGGGGGGTGGTTCAATATATTTACAGAACCTGCACATTTGCGCACAGGACCTGTACATTCACATAAATCTCTCATTCTGTAGTAACATTTGTAGGCACAGAATACGATCCAACAATTCCTTCCCAACGACTAATAATGGCCAATGCATGTAAAAGACAAGCTTGACTACAGCTCTGGCACATGATGAAGGTGTTGGGGTGGTAAGAGCTAACGGGGAAACATATCTTACACAAATTAGTGTAGGAAGGAAATGTCACCAAAGACAAGCTCAATGATATGGCGGACGAGAGAAGTAGAAGAAGTAGCAGCCTCCGGCAAATTTGGTGCCACTAACAGTTTGTGTCCAGTTGGAGCTTGTGCCGATGTGCCACGTTGGGAAGATCTCATGCGGCTGCGGTTGCTACGAGTTGTTCTAGGAGAAAGAGGAGTAGTGTCTGTGGTGTCATCCGGAAAGTCCAGCCAATGGGGCACTTCCCCTGGGCAAGTATCCAAAAAAACAGAAAAAGGCAGGCAGCTGGTCTGGAGTGCGAAGCTGAAAAGCGGAGTTGTCTCGCCATACAATTAAGTGAAACGGGTGGCCCCATTTATAAGTTTCCTCAGATTCCTGGATAAGACCCAACAGGGGACGTATTAATCGTCTCATGTGGAAAGTATGTCTCGTGAGGTCAGGTAAGATATGAATAGTGGCCCCGTCAAACTCCACTGGGCCCTGACGCCATGCCTGTCTGACAAATTCTTCCTTGATAGTGAAAAAATTTGCCCGACAAAGGACATCTCTCGGTGCAGAAGAAGTAGCCGGGCATCCGCCCTGGACCCGGTATACTTTGTCCAATTCTGCTGTGGGAGGCATACCAAGAAGCTGATTCACAATGGTCACGACAGTGTCTCTGATGTGGGTGCCCACAGTGGCTTTTGGGATGCCCTGCAGACGTAGATTATTCCTGCAATTCCTATTTTGAATATCGTCAATGCGAAGGTGCATGGAGAGCATTCATTTGTGTGTAGCTGTTGTGTCCGTCTCCAGGGCCTCCACCCTGGCCGACAGAGAGGATGTAGTGTGCTCCACAGCAGAAACCCTCTCATCTATCACAGATATATGGTGTGTAAGGTCCTGGAGTTCCTTTTTAAGAGCATCTACCATTGAAATAGCCATGTTTTCCAGGTCCCGTTTAGTGGTCAAGAACAGGATCAGATCTTGCAGCCCTCCCTCAGGTGAGATGTTACGGCCAGGTGAGGACGGGAGCAGGGTGAGCTAGGCGGGGAATACACACTTGGGAGTCCCAGGGACCGGATTGGGGGGAAGGATGTGCCAGAGGCTCAGGCGTCATTGATATCGGCCAGCAGGACCAGGTGGTTGCGGCCCTGATGCTTACCAGGCATGGGGCCTGCAGCGGAGGATCTCAAAGGCACCATGACAGAGGTATGGGGGAGGGCCGGATCCAGGGCTGCTTGAGCAAAAAGACTGTAAATTGTCGCCGAAATGTGATTCCCATGTTCTATGCACTCTTTTGCTATGGTTTTAGGTTGAGAGAAAAGTAATTAATGTTGTTGGCCTGTCGTGTTCAGAGCTCCTGCAAGTCCTCATGATGAAGCCACACCCGCGAAGGGGTTTTTAAATGTTTCCAATTGTGTTTCCTGTAGATGGATAAGCCAATCATCTCTCAGGTTGCTGTCCTGGAAACTCCCATGCACTGTGCTCAGACACCTTTTTTTGATCAGAACCAGCATTAACTTTTTAAGCAATCTGAGCTAAAGTAGCTCTTCTATTGGATCAGACTACACAGGCTAGTCTTCTTTCCCCACGTGCATTATTTCTGCGTTGGGCACCCATGACCCTCCCACTGGCAAAATGGTTTTCCTTCCTTCCTACCACTTTTTGTAGGTCCTGACCACTGCAGGCCCTTTTCAAAGTCTCTCAAATCCTTACGATTGCTAATTTGTTCTGCTTACAACACATCAACATCAAGGACAAAATGTTAATTTGCTGCATAAGATATCCCCTCCCACTTCCAGGTGCCATTGTAATGTTATTCACTTCACCTCTCAGTGGTCATAATGTTATACTGTATATGCAGTGTGTGTGTGTGTATATATATATATTATATACAGTATATATTATTTTTAGGAAACAAAAACAGACAGTGAAAAAGTAACATAAAAAATTAAAGTGTATGCTTCAGGGGATGCGGGCTTACTGGGCCCACGGCTCCGCCCATACTTGAACAGACTTTATGCTTTGATCTATAAGGTACTCCGGATCCGACCACCCCGTGACCCGCAGTATGTTTTATTGAATCGTCCAGTTCCCCGATTTATCCAGGTCCAAAGACGAATTACTGTAGTTCTTTTTTCTGGCTGCAAAAATTTTCTTGCCAAAGACCTGGAAATCCGACAGTTCCGCTCAGACAGGTAGTTTCTAAATTGTCGCGGATAATGGTACGTGAGAAGCTGAGTAGCATCCTCAGGGACACTCGAGGTAAATTTGAAAAGGTATTGGACCAATGGATGCAATACTTGCACATTTCTGACACTCTTTAACATAGTTACATAGTATTTGGGGTTGAATAAAGACATATGTCTATGAAGTCCAACCCATATAGGTCCACGCATCATCTCATTCTTAGGGATACTGGTATCCCTGGATATTACGGTCCCTCAAGAAATTGTCCAAACGTTTCTTGAACAAATCTACACTCTTGGCTGAAATCACCACCGATGGCAGTGAGTTCCTGACCTTAACCGCTCTTACTGTAAAGAACAACTTCTGAAATTAAGGGTTCTTGTCCGTCCCGCCCTCTTTCCTTTCCTGTATTTAATATTGAAAGTAATCACATTGTGATCACTACTACCCAGTGTCTCCCCAATTACAATATCCTCGATTAATTCCCCATTATTAGTAATTATTAAATCTAGGATGGCATTTTTCCTAGTTGGAACCTCCACCATCTGTTCCAAGAGATTGTCCAAGCGTTTCTGTACCGATTTTTATCCACCTTGTTCTGGATGCCTCTCTGACCTTTTTTCTACTCTTTCTCTTTCCTATGCTTTTACCCCTCTTTTTGGTCTCCTAGTACTGCTATTTTGAGCTCATTATGTAATGTTCGTTTTTGTATTTGTCCCTTTGTGTGCATCGGATATGTCTGATTTGTCACGAAAGCCATTGTTATAAGGATGCAGGCAGGGCCGGATTTGCTCTCCCTGCCACCCCAAGGCCACTTTTTTAATCACTTTTTTTATTTTTATTTATTTTTACATTTTTAGCTTGTCGTTTACTTTTTTAATAATTTTCTATCTTATTATTGTTTGTTTTTTATAATTATTTTCTTTTTAATATTTTTCTTTTTACTTTTTAATGATTTAACATTTTTTCATTTAATTATTATTTCTTATTTTTATTTATTTTTTAATTATTTTTTTATAAAAAAAATGTTCATGTAACCTTATACTTGTTAACGAGCGAGCGTATTCCCCACACTACATTTAGTCCTGCCTTCCCAAAGCAGGACTAAATGTAGAAGGCAACTTTACCGCCCGAACTGTATTTTCCGGGCGTCGGGGGACTCCACGCCGCTGACGCACCTCGGGGGCCCTGCCGCCCGAGGCCTGGCCTCGGTGGCCTTGTGGGGAATCCGGGCCTGGATACATGACCTTTATTGACTGTGAATCCATACTTGTCATATGAGATGCATTGTGTGTTTCATCTTCTTGTCAAAAACTTAATAAAAACTTTGTGAAAGTTAAAAATTAAAGTGACAGTACACAGATACTCAAATGTACAAAAAAAACCCATCTAAACAAAAAGTGAGTGACAGCTTTGAGGCTGCTGGCATTACATCCAAGATGCTGGCGCCCAGAAGTCTCAGTTCACATATAGTGTTTGCGTTTCCCCCGCAGTTTTCCGTGCTAAAACGCTAAAATCTACATCTTTACAGATTCCGCTCATTTGTGGCTGTTACTATAGCCGTGAACATGTGGAATCCACCCCTGAAATTGTGCTTGGACTATTTTGCGGGACGCAAGGTTTTGTACCGCATGGTCCCCGCAATAGTCTGAACAATGCACATTAAAACGTTTAGAGCGGTTACCTGCGTATTCGTACAGCCGAATACACGCGGAAAAAAATGTGTGAATGGAGCCTTAGGCTACCCAAAATCACTCTGCTCTTCCTGACGGAAAAATAAACTTCCATTTTTAAATTCAACCAAAGAAATCATATACATTTTACAGAATGCTCAAACACTTTCATGGTGTTTTCTTATTCACCATGTGTAAACCCTATGCTTCCCTTTGATCTTCAACTTAAAAAGCTCAACCCACAGACTAACAAATATAACAAAATAATGCCAAACAGAGATAGATTCATGATGACAAGCCAAATATTGCACAGGTTGTTTCTTTTTACCTAGGTTAGTCTGTAAATAAAATACCTGCTAGGGAGAGCCACTTCAGTCAACATGCTGAGCACCGTTGCTTCTTTTAACCGGACAAAAGCAGTGAAAGGCTGTTCCAAAAAGTCTGCTTCACCAACAAGGACATTGGCTGCCTCTGTTCCTTTTGGTATCTTCCTTTTAAAAGTATTTTGCAGCTGAAACAAAACACATTTCACCGTTTATAGCAGTGTTTTTCAACCTTTTTTGTGCAAAGGCACACTTTTTTCATGAAAAAAATCACGAGGCACACCACCATTAGAAAATGTAAAAAAATAGAAACAAATTAAAGTGTTTTTTTTCCCCATGTACTCTCTCTCACCTCCCCCCCCTTCCCCAGCAGCATGCACTTCGCTTTATATGCGCTCATGCCTCTCTGTTCGGCCAGCAAAGAGCGATGTGAAATATCACATCCTTTTATGCAAGTACAGGGGCCTAGTTTTATCACTGGACCCTGTAGGAACCCAACATTTTATGTCCTAAGTAACAATCATGTTAAGATCACATCTTTAAAACTGATCATTTTTTTGCTTCCCTGGTCCTGTCCTGGCTTAGAAAATTGTGATAATTTGTAAATAACCTTATACTGTATCTGTGACCAATATTTATACAGAGAAAAGTTGCCTGCTTATTGTGCCTAATGGACAATCCAACCATGTGACTCACTCCTCCATTTTCTGACAACACTTCTGCCTCATGATTGCTCCAACACAGAGTGTTACGTTCTAGAGTATGTAATGTACGGAACAGAGTAAAGCAGTATGTAACACAGAATACAGCATGTAAAATAGTGCAGCCAGTAGTATGTAATGTACAGAGTACAGTGGTCAGGACTATGTAATGTAGAGTACAGTGCACAGAGCAGAGAGGTCAGAGGTATGTATCATACTGTAGAGTATGCAGAATGGTGTGGTCAGAAGTGTGTAACATGCAATACATGTACAGAGAGGCACGGTCAGTGGGGTAGAATCCCATCAATAAAGGGATATAATACCTAGTGTTTGTATTAAGTGTAATCCATATAGTTTATTTTCCTTATGCCATTTGGTCATTTTGGGTTATTGCACCATGTTTTTCTGTGTTCCCTCACATCTATGATTTATTTGCCCTTTCTTCAAGAGACTAGTAGTTTATAGTGTCATGGCTAAAAGTAACATGAAATTGAGGAGACTGTCCCCGGGAACATAAAATTATTAGCGCAGCGAGAAAGCTAGCCAGCTTTCTCGCTACGCACTTTGCATAGAACCCACTAAGCTAATAGGGTATCTTCTCAGAAGCTGCACACAGTGCGCGCAAGCTTCTGACAGCGTGGGAGACGGGAGGCTGGGCTTGTCGGTGGATCCAGGGATCAGGTGAGTATTTTTTTTTTAAATGTTTTATTTTATGTTCCCAGGGACATTTAAAAATGTTGTCACCTTACCTTACCCAGGTGGTCAGTGGGGGCTCCCTGGTGGTCACTGGGGGCTCCCTGGACCCTGGTTGTGGGGGGGGGGTCTACTGTGGCCGCAGCTGCAGTGGCTCCCTCCCTCCGCCCCTCTCTGCCACATGCACCCGGCCAGCCTGCCCGCATCAGATGCGGCTCTGTACTCTGCTGTCACTCGCTCAAGGGGGGCCTCCCATTCAATCGATCCGGACTGGCTGGATCAAGCAGACGCGGTCCTCTAATCAGGCACTGTAGAGGGCCGCCCGCGGTGTCCTCGGGAGGCCCTCCTTGAGAAACGAGTGGCCGCGCGATTACAGAGCCGCATCTGATGCGGTGCAAGTGGCAGAGAGGCGGCGGGGGAGGGAGGGAGCCACTGCACCGGCGGCCGGGGGCTTCATTTAGCGGGGGTTGGTGATGGGCCCTCTGACTGCCGCGGGCAGGGGCCGTTTTTAAAAGGCAGCAGAGAGGCCACCTTGCCCCCGGCCCACTCTGCCCCTGGTGCTGGACCCCCCCAGGCTGCACCGGCGGTAGTTCCGCCACTGTGGTGAGTTCAGCTATCTGATAAGGAATGTCCGCAGTGATTATATCTGCTTATAGAGGCCAGGCATAGAGGTCTCAGCAAGGGATACATCCATGCTGGCTAAAATGGTGGATGTACGACACTCTCCTTCCTACGTTGTATTTCATTGGCTGACTTTGGTATGTTAATGTATTGAGGAAGTGATGTCTGTTGTCGACATCACTTCCTGGTGTGACCCCTTTTGTTGATATGATAGTAAACGGAGTGAAGCTGATTGGCTACTGCTGTAAAGCCAACTCCCTCTGGGCGTTACCCTTTTTGTGCATATAAATTAATAAACGTCCTGTGCTGAGGCACTTGGATACTGGACCTCCAGCTTGAATCAGCAACTTGTCTGAGTCTTCCTAGCACAACAGAAGTACTTCACACCTTATACAGAAAGAGCTAAATACAGCGTGCTTTTAAGCGCGACGGATTTTGTTTGTGCTTGGCGCATTTTGATGCTGGAAGTGCACATTCAGGCATACCGCGGATTTGTGCGCTCAGCCCAAGCGAAATTTCCATGACAGATGGCGAGCCTGGTGTAGGAGCTATAGCAGTTTTCCAGTGTCAGCGAGCCTAGAGAAGGGACTGGATTTTGGTTTTTATACAGCAAAAAAACGGTCGTTTAACTTTGGGGTAAGCATTTCAGTTTTTGAAACTTTTGTTGTCCTGAAACCAGCATCTGGTTCCTTTTGATCGCTGCCGCAGGAAGCTCCGCTCAGCGAAATAGTTTTTTTTGCTTTTTACTCTTTGTGTATAAGGACGGGGGATTTGTAAATATCGTAATATCTGTACTGGGAGGGATAGGTGTATTGGCTGGGGATAGAGTCTCTACAGACCCCTGGTTAATACAGCCTAGAGGGTTTTTTCTTCGTACCGGGTTCATGTTTAAATGTAAAACTGTTCCTGTGGTACAAACGTGATCATATGCATGGAGTGTGCTAGTTGATGTTTTAAGCGTGCGGCAGAGATTAAATGACATAACAATGTTGTGGCTGGGTTATTTTCACAGTGCTGATCACCGTGTGAAATAGCTTTGTAGAGTATGTGGCTGTTACAGTGCGTCTAACGTTTAGTGTGTGTTAAACAAAAGTACGATTTGTCCTGTGTTAAGTCCGTCTTGTGGTAAAGGGGTGATTTTGGTTTGTTGAGGCAGAATTTTGTTTGTTAGTGTTTGTACAGGAGAGACCGCATGTGAAGGATTTTTATGCTGTTAGCCTGTAAATCATCCCAGAGTGGAAATTGCTCCAATTTTGGGGGTGAGACCCAGGGAACAGAGAAACTGTTTTTGTTAATGTTCAACTCACTGGTTTAAATCGTTTTTTGTATTGTTGGATTGAGAAGACACCATTTTGCTATCCCACATGGGCCAGCTACCATTTTGGTTTCCTTTGTGTAAAACCATGCGACCAGCCACCATTTTGGTTTCCTTTGTGTAAAACCATGCGGCCAGCCGCCATTTTGTTTTAGTACAGCCACCATTTTGGTTTTCAGTAAGTTAAATTTTTGTTTGTTTTCAGGTTTAGCTATTTTTGTATTTTTATACAGAAATCAAATTTCAGTAAAGCGATCGCGGTTTTTGTATTGAATTTTGGTTTTAAGTTAAATTTGTCCTTTTTTCTGAATTTTAATACATAGCAAGACTAACTTCAGCTGTGAGACTTTCTATGGTAAAGAGAAAGTCGTGTCTTTTTTAATTTTTGTTGTTTGGGCGTTTTTGTTACTCAGAGGGCAATTCATTTCCCTATTGTCTGTGCATGTTTATAGCATTAGCTGCGTTTTTGTACAGTATAGCACCGCTGTTGGTTTGCGGTAGAAAAGAAAGGATTTGTTTTTTATAGTCACTTTCTGCAGCGGTTAGTCAATTTGTTTCCTTATGCCCAGACTGTTAGTTTTGAGGAGTTTCTTCATTGTGTGACAGTAATTCAGATGTTATACTGAGACATTCTACAACTAGTAAACAGGCAGTAGAAGGCTATCCCCATTCCTTGTATTTAACAACTGTATACTGAAAGAAGCCACATTGTTCTGTAGAGAAAGAGGATATTCACTGTACCGTGCAGTTTGCCTGGCAAACGCAGTGTAGGGCCACGCAGGGGTATTCGGTGTACCGTAAATAAGCGAAGGGGTCGATACAGCCTGGTGGGTGCATGCACTATAAGGGGCAGAGACATAATTCCGGGGGGCGATACACATCGCCTCGGTCAGGGTCTCTAGTTAGAGGACTAGAACTGTGCATTAGTCTGCTAATCTAACGTGAGAAAAGGCACCGGGCGGTGCTCTCCTAAAGTGGTGCAGGGTGGTTTCCCTGGACGCAGGGGTAGGACGATAAACCGATTCGAATCGCCATGAGCAATGGACCGTCCATGCAAGGGAAGGAAAGGGAGGCTTCCCACAGTCAGGCGGCAGTACATGAAATCTAGTTTTGGGGCGTAGGCCATGAAACCCCGTAAGGAATGGAATAGGTGGTCCAAGGGTACCGCTTGGGGTATCCCTCTGGAGGGGACGTTTGACGCCTGGAGATGGGAGAAATTCATAACGGAGTTTAAATACAGGCTGGGGGCGGAGCATCTTCTGATGCTTCTGCTATCACTAATACAATAAACTCTACACTGACCTCTCTAGCTACTACTCCCACCTCTCCACCTGACAGTGTAACCTTTGACGCTGCCAACACTCTTTCACCTCAATCTAACTCTCTCCATCAATCTCCTTTTGCCACATCTGGGGCTTTTTCTCCTCCAGCTACTGATAAGTATGAGTCATTTACAAATGGGGACCTGCAGGCACTATGTGAGCCTAGAGGGATCGATACCAGACTAAGAAACCGAGTGGATTGCTTAACTGCGCTGATAACTTTTGACTCAGCCATGCCTACCATCTACCCCTCACTGGAGGTGATGGGCGAGGTAGTACATGTTAGCCCACCATTGAAACCACAGCCTCCAGGGTACACGCCTGGCCCTAGGAACCTGGTACTTATCCAGTTCGGGTGCAACAATACGAGGGTGCTCCCGATGCCGACGGTGAAAGGACTATAGGGGAGAGGGTGGCATGGCATGTTCCTTTTGCATCCTAGCCGAATTGCCTGACTATAGAACAAATCCGAGAGGGTTCGCGAGAATGTTTTGTCAAAATCAATTTAGTTAAGGCATGAGCGGAACGGATTGTGC